CCCAAAACCCCAAAACCCCAAAACCCCAAAACCCCGTTTTCAGAGTTTAGAATTGAAAAGTAACCTTATACTAACTCCTCCTTGTTTTCCTTTAGGGATTTTAGGTATCTTATTAAATCTCTGTTTGTTCTTTTTAGCTTAAATCCGATAATAGTTTTTAGCATTCCTACTGCCATGAGTTGATTATCAGTAAATCCTACATGAGCAATTAGGGATTTCCAAAGAATAAATTTTAGTATAAAGCATCAACAAATCTTTGAAAATTGATCGATCTCCTACCACGAATACCCTCAAATTTAAACTCTCATAAAGATTTGGTCTACCAAGTAGACTACATCATATAACTAAACTCAGTAAAATCTGTACCTTTCTCTTCTACTACTTCCTCTTCATTGATCTTATCTAGTGTGAAATAATTACTTGAGGATTCTCTCATCGATAAGTCTTGGCTTGGCCTAGACTCTCTTGACTGATGTATTTCTTCGTGTCTTCTCTTAAAGTTGGAAATCTAAATTTTATATTTAACCAGAATGAAGCAAACAGAATTTTAGAAGATTTATTGTCATGATTCAGACTTTTTTGAGCAAGGAAATATTCGTGGGAGTAATGTAGGAAGACGAGGAATTTGGATTGAGTAAATCTGATCTAAACTTACCGTAGTTCTTAGAGTTGACACTGTATCGAACAGACTCTTTATCTTAGCCAAACTTTCTCCTCCTTGGGTGATAGATGAGTTATCAAGCTCACTCTGGGTACCAAAGATGGGCCGTATCGCTTCTATAATAGGTTAGTAAAAACTCACTCTGAGTTGTTGACCTCTCTCGAGTCTTGGGCTTCTCAACTATCAAAGAATGACTTGACGCATGGCCCTGAGGGTCACGCCTCAAAGGCTTTGATGCTTTAAGAGTAGATCTGTTCATGGACAAGTGAGAGGGCGTCTTTGGGTGATACTTATTTATATTTATATATGCTTATGATTGCTAGAAGTAGGAAGATTTTTTCTTTGTTGTTTAGCCCTAGAGCTGAAAGTATCAGAGTCAATATTCTTAATAACTCTTTTTGTCTTAGGTTTAAGAGTGGTGTGACTTTTAGTTTCTTCTACAACGAATAAAAACAAATATACCTTTAGAATAAGACTTTGAGAATTCATCTCCACCAATATCGGGAATTTGATGCTTAGATTTCTACAACTAAGAAAGTGAACTTACCATAAATCTCTGAGTCTCCCTGGAAGGCAGATATGGTTCTCTTGGCTTTGCTACAAGATAATTCAAATGGTACATTTATATTTCTCCTTATTTATAACTAGGGTTAGAACTTCTGAAACTTCTTTTGGCTACAAACTCTATACGCTTCAAATAGCTAGATTACTTCCAAACTTCATAGTTTTGTTCAACCTTTCCATCTTGTTATTTCTAAAAATATCAATTTCCAAACCTCTTTCTCCCTGAGTATAAACCCACTTCTAAATCCTCAAAAAATCTTTCCAGAGTCCTTAGCCATCTCCTAGTGCTACTTTTGAGGGAATCTGAAATATTATTAACTTACAACTGAGCTGCTCAATCTTCAACCTCATCGTCCTTATTAATCTGACTTGGAGAACTATATCTTGCTTTGTGTTGCCCTCTTGGCCCAGAAATGTCTAGAAATTATATAAAAGCCAACCTCGTTTAACTAATTCTGAAGCCTCGAGTAAGTCTTGGTCTATTTAGGGTTAGTCAAGGTCATGCCAAAACCCTCAAGAGAGGCTTACCGAAATCTTGTTCTTTACTATACCAGAATTAATCAATGCAGGTGCAGAATTTGGAGGAAGATTTAAAATAAAAACTAGAGATTCAGGAAAAGTTAGAAATTAGAGTTCTAGTCATAATTGTGAAGGAATAGAGATTCAAGTGCTAAATTACCTATCATAAGAATCTTCTCCGTCATTATGATCCCCTATTATTATAACTTAAAACTACTTTTGGAGTAAATATGGCTGCTACTGCTAGTAAACGGCAGCCTCGTAGGATTAGTAAGAGACATTCGTGCTTTAGCACGGTCTTCATTCTTTTCATGACCCTGCTTTCTATATTATGCGTCTATCTGAGACTATTGTCAGAAGAAATATCAGACTTGTGAGAATTAAACATTTGGTTTAGAAAACTTACGATTTTATTTTTACTCAAGATTTCCTCTTGCTCTTTTCAAATGCTTGAGTATTTATTTTCACACCATATAGGACTTTCGATGGATCCCTTATGTGGTTGAGTAGGTGATACAAAGCCTGAATTAAGATAATTAGAAATTTTTAGCTGAAATATCATAAAATCAGTATATCTAACCAGAATATCTTAACTAATCAAGAACATCATCAAAGAGTTATTTAAATGAGTGACTGGTTTATTTATCTTACCTCTGTATAATCATTAATATCTGTTCTAAAGCTATCAGCATTCAAAGAATCTCCCTCGGACTAAAGTTTTAATCAATGGATACCTGTTCAGATGGAGCTTTAAAGGCCCTTACAGCTACTTTCACTAATAACTTCTCAAAATCTGTATAAGATAAAAGATAGTCCTTCATCATAACTTCTTTATTAAGCATCCTTGGTGATTTCATCAGATTCGAAGAAGGCTCTGGCTGGATTTCACAAATAATCCTTGTAATCTCCACATTGGTTAACAAATCTGGGAAAATATTGAGGCTCATTCAAATCTTATTTACTTCAGCAGTCTTAATTTTCCTAAAACTTAATTCAAATTTTACTTCTTGTTTCAAAACACATGCCTATTGAAGATCTTCCTGAGCATTCTTCTATTAACTTCCAAAAGTTGGTTCGGCTGGCCTTCTTTTCTTAAATTCTGACTTGATAGATCCAGTCCACCTGGACTCATCATCTTTTTCTCTGGTGATTTCTCGTCACTGGTATATTTAACGACCTTTGCTACAGAAGTATTAATTAAAAATGAAGCTTTAGGCTTAGAAAATTGTCAAATCTAGTGCTTATCTTACATTTCTTGACATATGGGATATTCTTGCACCCTTCCTCAACATTTTCAGAGTTTTCTTCTCAAACTATAGGTGAAGTTTATACTAACATTTTAGAAAATTTATGAAATTAATCTTCTCCAATAATCCAGAATTATGGGTTATATAGCTATCTTACTTAAAACTTGGACTTCTTCAACCTCTTTGGCTTCTTCCTTCTCTGACATTTAAAATTATTATGTATTTCAGCAAAAATTTTATGAAGGGGTTTTGGGGTTTTGGGGTTTTGGGGTTTTGGGG